TTATTTAAGACTGGATCATACATTAATCCACCTTGAGATGTACCTTTAGATAATTTATTATCAGCAGTAGTATCACTTGGTTTACTGTAGATACTTCAGTAACCTTCATAGATTTCAAAATCCATGTCATCTGGTATATCATCTGCCAGTGATTGCTAGATAAACAAGTAAATGCTTTTCTGGAGTTTTGTTATTATTGTTAGTCAGTTTGGATAGAAATATGGATATAGAGGTTACTCTGACCTAAAGGATTGTTAAGTATCTTTTGGTTTAGACTTGATAGCATCAACAAAGATGATGTTGTCACAGATTATACCTCTTTGTGATTGTTTTTAAGCATTGTATAATTGTTAAACTGTGTTAGTTAGAATCTTTGATATACATTAGTTTCTGTTTGGAGTCAGTCTATTCTAAACGTTTGCTGTTGAATGTAAAATCAGAAATTGCCTTAGCTGTCTTACATAATCTTATATAGTACTGCAGACTTAAAATAGAAGTATGCATATTGGAGATAATTGTATTGGATCTTGCACAAGGGATGATTCATGCTGTAGCTTCTAATATATGTTTAATATCCATAAGGTCATGTGAGGTTGTGTTTCTTGAAAGGTTAGTAAGTTTAATCGAATATTTGGATTTTTCTTAAATAGTATTACATTTATAGAAATGGATTATGTTATTTAAAAGAAAGATATAATCTTCTTTATAAAGTTCAGTAAAGTAGGTATCTTTGTCAAAGGTTATTATCACTCTTTGCTATAGGTTGTGAGTTTTCATAGTAATCCTGGTAATATTTTCATATTTTGAAAACAATTTCTTAAGGCATAGTTCAGATTCAGTAGCATCTAATAGGATTTCAGTCACTGTAATAGAGAGTTTAGAAATATACAGAGTCTGGTACTTGCAGTTGATGAAAAAGATATAATTTAATTTAATATTTAACAAAATATAATATATCTGTTCATAATTTAAGACAAAATTATATCTAAAAAATACAAATGTTCCTTTAATATAATGGATAAGATTACAGTTTTGAGTAGTGTTCCTAATGAGTTGAGTCGAGTCGAGTTTCAAGTCAAAATTATCCTACATACCTTTAATTTAAAGTACTTATTTATTATGTGTAACTAAAATTTACAATTATGCACAATCATACGAGTCAAATATGTGAGTTTATGCGAGTCATTTTCGGAACTCTAGTTTTGAGCACTAAATCCAATACATAAGTTTAGTTTGCAATATAAAAATCAGTTAAATGTAAAGTATATAGTACAAAATAAGCAATTATATTGTAATTATATAGATTCACATTATACATCTACATTATTTTGTTACTTAAAAGAAATGATAATTAAATATAAAAAGAATGCTTATTAAATTTTTATAGATAATAAATACAAATATAAAGTAGGTATATTTGGTTATCTAATAGCAGCAATAGAATGTGATAGATAAGTATTTGTAACTTATAATAAACTAATGCAAGTATTAGATTATGATTTTACAAAATGTGATATTATACCTAGTGTAATGATATTTTAGAATCTATTGAATAATCATTTTATCATAAAAAAGTTTGTTTTAAAAGATTCTATTTTTAAATTTTCTGGTCCTTTTCATCATATGACAGAATTATATAAATTTTTAATTAATCAAATAGATCATAAACTATTCTTATTTCTTTATATTGATCAGTGTATAAAATTTAACCAAAAGTCATGTGCACAAGTTGTACTAGAAATAGAAAATTAATGCATGTATTACATAGTATTTCTATTTTTATAAATAATTTATCCATTTTTATATATAATTTATCTATTTTTAGTAATTATTTGTGCACATTTTATGCTGTGTAATATGTGCACATAAAAATTTAATGTGCACATGTGCACATTGTGCACATGAATTTTACACACTGATATTGATAGAGAATCTGATTATTGAGTAACTTATCTTAAAGTTCAAATGGCTTAATTGTAATCTTTTTAGTACTAAATTTAGATATATTAATTACTTTATGTATTTCACTAAGTTATTTATGAAAAAATCCTGTTGAAAAATCATGTCAACTTTAAATTTAGGTTTATAATGTATAGGTTTAATGAGAAATAAAATGGATGAAGATTTTGAAATAATTATTAAAAATTGTAATTTAATAGATAATATTAAAAATAAAGCTAAAATATATCTATCAATAATTGATAAATTACATATTAACTTACAACTAACAATTGATAAATGGAAGATATTATTAAACAATTAAAATTAAAAAAGAAACATTTTCAATTTTTAAAGCTACAATAGATTTTGAAATAAATAAATTATGAAACTATATTCATTATATAGATAATTCTTTTACTCAAGAAATACATACTAAAAATAACTTAAAATCAGATAAGATTAATAAACATTATATATTTATTTTATGTAATAATTAATTATTTTTCTGATTTATTAGCTTAAATTTAAACAATTTATACATCATTGTTGTTATTCCTAGCATTATTTTTTTTTGAAATAAAAAAGTATCATATTAAAAATTGTGATATTTGCAATTCTCTTTGAAGTGATTCAAAAAATTTCAATAATATGTATCATTTATCAGACTCAGACCCAGTTCTAAAACTAAATGGTGAAAGTTATAAAATATTTGAAGGACTATATGATAATGAAACTACTAAAAAATTTTTATTTATTAGCATAAAAATTAACTAAAAAATCTAAAGGAATGGGATTTAGTCCTAATGTACAATATATAAGAATGTTGTTATAGTTATATAATATGAAGAATGTGAAAAATGGAGAGTTAATATTCAAAAAAAAAACTCAATAATGAAGAGTCTGCTAAATTAAATAGATTTTTGGATAATATTCAATATACTTGTAAGGATTCTTTTAAAGGATTAATCTTAGAAATTCAACAAAATGAATTTTCAGAATTATTTTTAAAAATAAAAGTCAATGACAAATTAAATTGTCAAAGTAATATAGAAACTTCATATTATTCATGTAGGTTATTTGAGAATGAGATATGCTTTATTTGTAATAAGCAATACCAAGAGGATATGCTAAATTTACCAATAGATAATGAATTTTATTATTATTGTGATAAGTATAATGTAAAGTAAATAAGAAAAAGCGAGGTAAAACAGTCTTTGATCCAGATAGTCAAAAAAAAAAACAAAGAAATATGTAATTATATTTACTAGTTAAATGTTATTATTATCATTATCATATCTCTTCAATATTAATAAAATCATAAAAGTTTTATATTATATGATATATGATCACGTGAGATAAAATTTAACGTTATAAAAAATCATTTTGTTTTTTTTCAGAAAAGTGATCCGGCGGGTTACATGAACCGAAAAAATTAACTTTGCCCGGCCTAATAAGACAAATTTAAATTGTAATTTATTTTTTATAATAATGAATATAAGTATTATTATTCAATTTGCAAAAGCAAATCATCCTATTTAAGTTGAAATAAATATTAATAAAGATGCATTTTTTTTTTTCTGATACTTGCAAATTCTTAAAAAATAAGCTTCTTTAGAAATTATCTGAATTTAGATAAATTGTTATCGGTGTAATACTGGGATTTTTTGAATTTTTTGGAAGGAGATGAAATTTATTTGTCATGTAAGAATAATTATACTAGCTAATCGAAGCCTGATACGTAAGTGGAAATTTCTAAAAAAAAAAAAAAATCCCTCATGAGCGTGTTTATTTATCTGAAATATGTGACGCGTTAATAGACTGCCACATAGCAATTCAAATATATATATATAAATATTTTTGTTTTGAAGTGTAAGATCAGTTATTAAGACCCGATGATTCGCTACATTTATATCATACTCCAAAAAAAAATTCATGAAACTTATTTTTTATTAGTGAAATCTATTGGTTTTTGAAACCATTGCTACTAGTCAAGTAAATCATTATGGCGTTAAATAACCATGACGAGAATAGAAATAACTTCTACATCAGAAAAAAAAAAAAAAAAAAAAAAATCCTAGTTTAATAAGTTGAATACCACATCTATTATCAGCACTTCCACCGGAATAACCACATGATGTTCTCTTACGTTTAGATTAGATAACAATCAAAATCTTTAATATTCATCATCCTTGTTTGAAATCGTTATCTGTAATTACAAATTATCTAATCAAATTACCTAAAATGTCTTATTTTTTGTTTCGCAATTTGACAAGTATTGTTATTTTAATGAAGTATTTAGTTTGATTAAATTAAACTTTGAAAGATCGGCGATATAAAATGGTTAGTCTGGTGATACTTTAGCCCGCGGCTCGGAATCAATTAATACATATTAAACTTGAGTTTTTATGCACAAAAATGGTAAATACTTGTTTTCACAGTTTCATTTAAAGTTGGAACCCTATATACAGTTTCCTTTGTTTGTCACAAAATTCCGATAAATTAAAAATATATAATGTAATAGATAATATTTATGCACTTAGCGCTTCTTGTATACAGAATATTACATATTTCCATTGAAAAAAATCTGCGTACTCGGATTTTGGAGACTTATTTTCAAGAACAAAGCCTCTTTAAAAAAGGAGCAAGATAACAAAGGTCTCGTATGATATTTTTACGTGGCACGAGGTCATCTCTGGTTTTAGGTATGCAGGAGCATGTATCAGCACAAAATAAATTGTCCACATGATATGTAATAAACCCCTTCAAAGAATAAAATACTTTTACAACGAAATAACGATGTTGTACTTCATTAAATTGTTGGATGAATTATTTTGGTAAACCTGGACGGTTTACCAAGCATCCTTTTTTTGGACTCAAATTTGCAGTGGAACAAAATAACTATGCAAATTTTGTAGTACTATTCACGTGAATTTTTAATTGACTTTTTCAAGTGTTTAAACATAAAAAAATAAAATTTTATTAAATAAAATAATAATTTGCGGAATTCATCCGCAACATTTGATAGTATTTAAAGTTAGAAAAAAAAAAGGAAAAATTGATTAAGAATCACTTGGGTTTAACAAGTAACGAATTTGAAGTTTCTCTGAAACTTTTGGAGACCATGACCTTCTTTTACTATAATAATAATTCTTAACTCTATCATATGAATGTAGTCTACCATAGGCAAACTTTAAATTCTCGACAACGACCTTCCAATGAATAACGTGTCGATTTCGGGATAATTCAAAAGTTTGGTGAAATGGGACCATTTCCATTATGAATTGTTTTTCTTCTTGCCAAAATTTCTCTTTACACACTATTTAAAAAATTAAATTAATAAAATCTTTCGTTTTCTTAAAGAAAATATTGAATAATAAAATTTACGTACATCCCGGCTTTTGTTTTCTTCTCAAACTAAATTAATTTATAAATGAAAGAAAATTAATAACCTTCGTTATAAAAAAAAAAATCACCCCAATAAATTAAACTTACTGGTTTGAAATTATTTTTGGTTGATGACGATTTGGTAAGTGCTCGCTGAAATCTTCAATTTGATAAACGAACTGTCCTTCTTGATTTATAGGATTAGAATTGAATCGTAATTCCTACAGAAAAAATAAAATAAAATTTTTTTTTAAGAAATTTATTTAAAAAAATCATTTTTTATAACATAACATTGAGAGTACATAAAAGTTGTTACTTTGTTTGCCTTCATTATTTTCTTTAGTTTTTTTTTTTTTTTTTTTTTTTTTTTGTTGAATGTTTTTTTGGTAAAATTTTTCAGCTCATTTTATTTTATAAGATTATTCACGGTCCATTTTTAAGGGTCAATTCGTTACTTTACGCAACACCATTATCTTTTTTAAACCAAACCTATTGTTGTTAGTCTAATTTATTTGAGAACAATATAAGTCTTAAGATTTTAATTGGAATATTGGAATACGCCAAAGCATGTCATTATATTTAGTCATATTAGATTGGCTTGATTAATATTTATTTCTGATATTCCTTTTTTTTTTTGAATTCATTTTTAGGTTATCGTAAACTTTGATAAGAAATTTTTTTTTTCATAATTATAGTGAACTTTAAAAAATAAAAAATTCGATAATCTATTTTTAAAGTATGTTAAGTATGATCAGATGAACGGACGATAATATCACATTACCTTTTATTTTAAATGTTTATGGATAGAAGCAAAATTCATTCAATTGAAGATGCATTCTATGAATTTCTATATCTGTTCAATTTTACTTAATCGTTTATGTGAAGCTCCGTTTATAGCTAAACATTTTGTTGAAAAAAGTGTAGAAATAAAGGTTTCACAAAAGCGTGAAATGATAGTAAAAAAAAAAAAAAATAGCAATGATATTCGGTTATGCTTTAGGAAGATCCCTTTAATACTACTAAAGGTTTTGTTGGATTTGAAGAAATTGAAGATATTTTCGTTTTCAAATTGCTTTGATTTCAACACGTGATACATCATATCATTATCGTTTAAAAAGATGTTTTCATTTCTTAAAAGGGATATTCGGAGTGCACCCTGCAAATTATGATCGTCGATTTTAACATCATCCTTAAGGATATGCACTTTTTACAAATTTAATTAGGAATCTTGTATTCTGTTTATGTAATTTTCGATGACGAATAAATAAAATTCAATACTGACGATTAACGCGTGGTAACACAAAAAGTAAATAAAAGACCAAAAACAATTTTTTTTTTTTGTAGCAAAATTCCAGCAAAAGCTTAGCTGAGAACTCGTTGGGTTACCGCCATAATAATAATCTCGTAATTTAGCCAATCAATTTGCCATAGAAACCCGATAACCTGGCACGCTTAAAATTTTTGTGAAACACGAATTCAATGATTTAGGAAAAATAAATCAAAATAATTTTTTTAAAGAAATTATTATTCAAAAAAAAAAAATTGTTAAACCAATTTCAAATATTCAAAATAGACAAATTAATTAATATTATTTTACTTTTTTATTAAATAATGCAAATTTATAAAAAAATTTTGTACTATACATTGAATTTAATATTATAAAGAAAACAATTATTCATTATCAAAAAGAAAATATATTTTTGATAAAAATACAAGAGATGAAAAAATATATATAGATGTGATAAATAAAAGCGAAACCTCTTCTTGTAGACAATCATATTGAAAATATTTTACGTCTCTAAATCTGAAGTATCTGAAAATGAGATGGGATTAATTCGAAATTCGGAAAATACGATCTCGTATTTAATAACGGATTTCAAGACTTTTGGTCAAGGATGTCTGAGTATGCAATCGGGTTTTTCTTTGAAACGTCACTTTTTTGCTACGTCATCTAACCATTTTTTTTCAATGTGAAATGCAAATGTCAAAACACCCTCCAAGACTTCAACCAAACGTTCGACTTCGACAACATAAACATTGCCACAAACCCTGCTTTCTCCTTTAACCCAAGTTAAATCTTCAGGCCAGTCAACCTTTTTACCTATCCTAATGAAACTTCCTGCGACGTATAATCTATTTTAATTCATATAGCTCTGTCCGACAACGCTAAATTTGCACCAGTGTTTGAGCCAAAAATTAAATCTGGTAATGTCTTTTCAGCCGTTGCAAGGTTTGGTAGAGCGACTGGAACAGCAATAATACATCCAAATAGTATAGTAAGGTATTTGGACACGGAGCATAATAATGTAAGATCGGGTCACCAAACTTTATTCCTGCCTTATTCCTTAATAGTGAGGCTAGTGATCTTCGCAATGTTACATTTACCCTATTTGAGAAACGTTTGGCGGCCCAATTAAGCGTATGAGATCGAATCGGCAAATGGGTTGGTTCTAGATTAACTAATTAATTATTAATAAATCCTTGAACTCCAAGTCACGTGAGATAAGTGACCAATTTTTCGGTCTCAAAGTCACCAACATAGAAATTTTCATGTTGTCCTTGCATGTTCTCAACCTTGCTGTAAAAGAATCATGCCATTTCTAACGAGGAAACTATTAACCGAAAAAAAGGAAATTTAGGAAAAATTTTTTAGAGGAAAAAAAAAAAATGGTAATAATTAAAAAACTTTCATTTACCTTGAGAAAAGAAATCCCAACGTTGATTATAAAGTATTTCATTTAATTCACCACCCATCAATATTTTTTTTATCTTGTTTGACCATTCATAACCCATTATGGATCGACACCGTCATAAGATGCAGTGAACTTTTATCCAAACAATATTTCGGAATTGTTGTCATTCCTAACTTTTGTAGGTAGATTCTTGACTGTGGTGATGATAGTATAAAAGTCAAAAGTGATGAATTTTGAAAAAAGGTCCTTTTCTAAGGAAAAGAATTGTTCGGGTTTGTGGCAATGATTATGTTTTCGAAGGCAAACGTTTGTTTGAAATCTTGGAGGGAATTTGAATAGTGACAAGGATGGGATCAAGGATTTGTTTTTTGAGAGAACGACCAATCGATATTGCTCTGTGGTTAGACTTTGAGCTAACCGAAAACCGTCTCTCCTACTCTCGTGCCTTGGTCAAACGATTTCTTCAATCTCGACTCATTTACCGATTCGATCTCAAATTGAATCAAACCTAAATTGGGGTATGGTGGTTTCCCTAATAAAATCGCCTTCACCGGATAGATGTTAACATTCGAGAAGAGGCGAAGATCAATAGCCCCTCACTATCAAGGAATGAGGCAGGACATAAAGTTGGTGACCAAATCTTACATTGTTATGCTCCGGGTCTCAAATTCCTCTCTATACTATTTGAATATATTATTACTGGTCCAATCGTCCCACCAAACCTTGCAATGGTCGAAAAAGACATTGCCAGATTTAAATAATTGGCTCAAACGACTGATGCAAAGTTAGTGTTTTCGAATAGGATCTATATAATTACACTAGATTATACGCCGTAGGAAGTTTTATTGAGATAGAGAAAGGTTGTTTCATCATCTGAACTATTCGATGAAAAATTAATTGTACAAGTAGGATGTGAAAATGTTGTCGTTTTACAACATCCAATAAAACGAATGTGTTTGTTGAAGTAAAATTACAATGGATTTGGATCTTTTTTTTTTTTTTGGATTGTTAATTTTTTTTTGTGGTTTAATTATTTTTCTTCTACTACTTATCGGAAGGGGGTTCAAAAAGTTTAATGTTGTTTGCCAGTTGCTTTCATATTTGATAAATGAAGTTATTGAGGTGAGGTTATTGATGAAGTTGAAGCCAACTTTCATCTCGTTATATATCAAAATTCGTATTGTATTTAGATTTGTATTGAATTGTATTTTAACAATTCATAATTAATTATATCATAAAAATAATACTATTATATGAATTGTTAATTTTTGTAATATGAAATCAACTGATCTTCTGCGCATATCATGTATTGTTAAATAACAAATTATTTTTATAATAAGCAAAAAAAAAAAAAACAAAGGGTTTTTTTCAAAAATAACCTTTTAATAAAGTTTGTTTCTCGTATTGTTTATATTACTCTGTCATACATTTAACGGGATATACAGTATACATACAATACACAAAAGTTTTAAAGATTTATAATATCCAATGTATTGGATCGATCGCAAAAATCCACAAAAGAACGGAGTTTAATTGAAACTAATAAAAAGTGAAAACTGATATATACAATAACAATGACAGATATAACATATTATATTTTATTATTATATTTTTCAAAAAAAATTTATTTTAGAAAGGATCGAAACTTTAAAACAATTAAACAACTCGCTTGCATTTTACCGCAATAATCATGTGTGGTTTCTTTTGTAAACAATTTCGAAACAATTTTTTTTATTATGACAAGTGCCCCAATTCCTACTGTATTAATCAAAAAAAAAATCACAAATAGAAAAAAGTAAGTTCATGTGTTCAGTTTATTTAAGGAGGGAAATATTTTTGCGTTGCCAATGATGGATGGCAAAGACAGATTTTCACATGATTTACAGTATGTATAGATTTCAAAAATCCAAGATTTCAATGAGAGATATCAAACGTAAACGAATTACCATCTTATTGTTTAGTCATCTATCGCAGCTAGTAGATCAAGGAGTTTATTGATATCAGAATGTGACCAGAGTTCATTAGCATAACTTGAATCCTCAAGTTGGCCCTCATCAATGGTTTCTTCGATTATTTCTTCATCAGTAAATCCATCATCTTCATCATTCGGTTTTTCACTTGAGGTTTAGTTGATGATACAATTGATGAATCAATTTCCTTATGAAAGTTTATTTTGTCTTTTCTTTTCGATCACAAACGGTAATTGTTAAATTTATGCACCGTTAAAATCCGAACGTTTTACCATAATCAAAAGGCAACAATAATGGATACTCTCGATTTCGAAAAAAATAATAATTGTATTAATTACCGGAAAAATTTTCGAATTTTAATTTTACTGGCCACATCAGCCACTTTTTTATTTGTATTTTATATTTAAATTAGTACTGGAAAATTAAGTTAAATAGAATAATACATTACAATACGAGAAACAAATTTTTTTATGAACACTTTATTTAATTAAAAAAAAAATCAACTTTCCTATGGAAGTTTATTTGTCTTTTCTTTTCGATAACAAACGGTAATTGTTAAATTCATGCACCGTTAAAATCCGAACTTAACACATAAGTTAGTTTACGGGGGGGAGGATATTTTAAAGAACGCTTTACGGTATTTTTAGCATTTAAAACTCAACGTTGTTTATCACACAAAATTAATTAATGGGAATTTTGCTTCACGTGTCGACAAACAATTTAGTTATAAAAGAAGCATGAAAAAGCACCTTCTCTCTTGTTCAACTTCATTCAACTAAAAGATCTTGCATTCACAAATAAAAATAAAAATCAACCATGAAAATTCAAAGCTTCGATGATCCCGTATGTTGACATCTATCATTTTTATTTTATGTTTATTTATTTATTTATTTATTTATTTTTTTTTATTTTTTTTTTTTTTTATTAGATTAACAAAAAGAAAACAAACACGCGTCAATTACCACCGCTCCCTGCGAGAGATCGATTTCCTAATAAAAAATTTGGAAATTCCATTAACCCTACCACCGATCCTCGAACAAATTTCCAATGTTAATCAATCGCTCCCATCTATAAGAACGCTTGATATTTTTACCAAAGACCCAATTCCTCGTATTCCTCTCCAAACTCCTCAGTATTCTCCTTTCCAGCGTGTCAGTCGAACCAGCCAACCATACTATCTTCGACTACCGGCAGTGAACCCAATCCCAATAGCAACACATACAACTATTTTAATTCCTGTAATCCGTACCGTCCCCGTCCCCGTTCCTGTGGCCTCAATTCCAAAGAACAAAAAGAACAACGCGGGATCTAATTCCGATAATTAATTATTTACCTCCGACGATTCTATGTTATAATTGAGAATAATGATTGGGCTGAAAAAAAAAAAAAAAAATGTTTATTTTGGTTAAGTATAAGAATCGATTTGCTAGTAATGAACTACAAAAATGAAGAAATTTTTTTTTTATGCTTTATTATATGTACTGTATGTCAATATGTCTCAATTTTTTTTAATTATAATGACCTGTTATAATATTTTTTGTGTAGTTATAATGTTAAATAAAATACTATAATACTACTAATGATCCTATGTATCATTATGTGATTTGGAAAAGTTATTTCTTTGATTCATAAATTAATCTCGTTTTGTCAGTTCAAATTTATTTTATTATTTTGCAAAATCATTTTTTTTTTTTTTTTTCAGCGGGGTAAATTGAATCCAATTGGTATTATGAAAACCTTTCACACACAATTTATTTTATTACGACATTTACAGTTCATACAAAATATTCATAAAAAATATGACAAGCATAGAAGAACTTTTTGTTAAAACGTTTTTTTTTTATTATATGTATTACCGAAAATATGTAACGAAAATAAAATGGTGCGGTGCGAATAAAAAGGTGTACGTTAAAGGTGTGCGTTAAAGGTGTGCGTTAAAGGTGGCGTTAAAGGTGTCCTTTAAAAGTATACGTTGTGCGAATAAATTTGAGGAATTTCGAATTGTGATATTCCAAAAGAAAGAAAATCTCATAAGGAAAAAAAAAAACCAAAGGATCGTTCATAATGCATTCATAAAAATTAGCGGGAAGAAAGATGATTACGCATCGAAAGAATTAGAAAAAAAAATTATTTTTCGCGAATAACGACGTTACGAGAAAGAAAGCAAAATAAAAATTTGATTGCGAAAGTAAAGAAAAAAAAAAAAAAAAAAAAAAAATACACAATTTAGGTGATGGAAGATTTAAAAAAACCTTCTATAGGAATTTCGGTAAGGTATGTAGTGAATAAACCTGTGAAAAAACATTGCTGTAATTTTTGTTCTTGATAATTTGGGATTTTCTTTATCAAATATTCAAATCGAACGTTATCATTCATTGTTCTAAATAATATAAGTAAAATGATTAATATACAATTTCGAGAAGAAATTGTTGCAAATTTTTTAAAAAAAAAAAATATCACCGCACATTTTTGTTAAAGAGCGGATTTCAGCAATTTTTTTTTTTTTTTTTTTTTTTTTTTTTTTTTTTTTTTTTAACATTTTTAAAAATAAATCACATTCTTATATTTTTAATTTTTTTTTTTCTCATTTTTTTTTTTTACAGAATTAAAAATAAATATGAATATATAACAAAAAAAAACTAAAAAAAAAAAAAATCTAAAAAACACTATTGTTTATGATCATGAGAGTGGATCACAAGGACACTATTCAGATGTGATTACATAAATTTGGGCTAGCTAAAATTATTCATATACACAAAGTTAAAAAAAAAATTTAAGAACGTTTATCAGTACATCAGGAATTCTTTTTCTTAGTAATCAGTGGGCGCTAGCTGCCACCGTTTGTTTTTGTGGGAAATTATACATGTTGGTTAACCTCAAAAAGTATTGTATAATTTATTTATACATTCAAAGTGAGATGATTTTTGTCAAGTCCTCATGGCGTTTTATACTTGCTGTGAATATAAACTTCTTCATTACCGATTAAAGTAAATGTAGTATAAAAATTCAAGATTGTAATCAAGAAATCAAATGTCTAAAAATTTCTTATCAATGCAATGTTTTCCCATCCGACGATAATAAATGATGGGGAGTACAGAAATTTTAATGGTGGTGGACCCCCATAAAAGTGTTATTATTTGTTACACGGTGAATTTCGGTCAAGTTCAGTAACGCCGGTCAAAAAAGCACGTGGGTTGATATTGGTACTGTTTTCGGAACATGTTTTGATAATCCGAGATCAATTGAAAATTACCGACTCTCTTGTTTTTAAAACTCAAAAAGAAATCAGCGGGAAAGGTATGAAGTATATAACTATATTAAAGCTAAATATGTGTAAATTGATTTAATATTTTAATTTAAATGTATATTCATAGTTAAAATTATTTTTACATGTGTATATATTAAAATTATGGAATTATAAAAAAAATTGTACTGGTTAGGATAAGGTTAAATTTTATTGCTAAAAAAAATTTTTTTTTTTTTGTCTTTACCTCAGAGGAATGTCTTCAATAATTAATGAGGAAGAAGCTTCAACGTTAGTGGTGTTATTACAAAATCTACGTATATGATGATCTTACAAGCTGAATTCGTAAGCATTCAAAAATATAATGACACTTCATCATTTTCATCAAAATCACGAGAAGATATCTATCCTAAATGAAATTAATTTTCTACCAGATTAAGGATCAATTATTTATCACCTATTTCTTTTTATCGTTAATTCCAGATCAATCTCAAGAACCTAACGTTTCATATCATGCTTTTAAGACAGCGATGAATTGTCGTTTGTTAAAGGTATTAAGGGATGAGCTTATGAGTTTGCCCTTCCCCCCCCCCCGATATTGAAATTTCAAGGTCCAATAATGAATCATCATTTTTATGTTTCTTTTTCAAATATATATATTTATATATTTAATCGGCTTTTTCTTTTCTTGTAGATAAATTATAATTTCTTGAATAAATTGCAATTGAAAACGATTTAGAGTAATGAAGACAAATTTCTACAATAGGAATGAAGAATGGTAGATTTTTTACTCTCAAAAATTTAATTTTTTAATGTCCATTTTTCTCTTATTAAATCCTATTATTCGTTTCTAAACTTAGCGATTGCTACGTAATTTTATTTTCACACGATGCTGAATGTTGCAACAGGTTGATAAAACACAATTTACTTTCTAATATATGGATGGTTGGTATCCGTTGGAACTGATGTCAAATTATCACAATTTGATGTTCAAATCCCATTTTGATAGTTCGCAATAAGAAGGAACGTAAATATCTTTTACCCAAACGTGAGTCGAAATCATGCTATGATATGAATTGCTTACAATACAAAGCAAGGAATTTTATTCATTGTATAAGTGATCGAGATCTGTGATCAGACATAATTAGATTTTTACTTTTTGATAAAGGTACGTATCAATTTTTAAATTTTAATAATAATTTTGAAAAAAAAAAAAAAAAAAAAAAATCTTATAAATGAAAATTATGGATATGTAATTATATGCATATATTATTTTTGTTTGCTGCTAAACTTGAGAATGATCAATGAGCTTTTCTAACAACCTTTTTGATGATAATATCAGACCAAGTGTAGAACAATTTGTGATAAAAATCCATGATATCAGCATAATGATTGGAATTCTAAAATTACGAAACCATAACCTACGAAATTCAAATATCCGGAATTCCATTACTTAACTTAGATCTCTTTCAAAAGCATTCTCCA